CACGTAGATCAGTCCACCAATCATGCCAGTTCTTTCTATCTGCATCTAGAGAGAATCCAGGTTTCACTATTTTAAAATTTCTGATTTGCTCAAGACATTCATTCAATCAAACAAGGACAAAGAAATGTAAGCTAATTTTTTTTATAGATTTAAAGATTCTTTGGGAAGAATTAGAATCCCTTAGACCCATACCATGTACTTGCGACATTCCCTGTAATTATGATCTATCAAGACCTTCTCTGAAGTACAGAGAAATAGAGCATGTTATATGTTTTATAAAGGGATTGAATGATACCTATAACACATAGCATGTTATATGTTTTCTAAAGGGATTGAATGATACCTATAACACTGTGAGGACTCAAATCCTTTTAATGGATCCTCTTCCCAACATCAATCGTGTTTTCTCTCTTATCATGCAACAAGAAAGACAGGACACTGGAATCATCAATCAAAGTGTTGAAACTAAAGTCTTGGCCAACACTATTAATAAAAACAGTAGTTGGAAACCAAACCAGACTTGGAGGGGCCAAGGACGTGTTACTGGAACTAGAGGACAGGGAAGAGGAAGAGGAAGAAACCCTAACTATGGAAAATAGTGCTCCTACTGCCACAAATGAATCATAAGGTGGATGAATGTTATTCCAAGCATGGTTACCCACCATGGTATAAAAGAGCCGACAACAATCAGGACAGAAAGGGATAAATTGACTAGAATTCTGCCAACATCTGCTAAAGCAATTCTAGTCTAGAAGATGTCCAACCCACTCACCAGGTCAGCACTAGTGTAGCCTTTAGTTCTCTTACCCTAGAGCAAATGCAAAAACTTCTCAGAATGATAGAAAATAGAAAAAGTCGATGATTCTGCTCATAAAGTTAACCAGGTGTAGAGAAATACAACTGAAGACAAACAAGGTATTCTCTCTTGGATTATAGACACTGGTCTTGGATTATAGACACTGGAGCCATTGATCATGTGACTCATGAAAAAAAGAACTTTGCAACTTTTTATAAAATTAAACCCATATTTGTCAAACTCCCAAATAACTTTATTGTTATTGCTGAACATGCAGAGACTGTTCAATTCTCTAAATATTTCATTATCTTTAATGTATTATATATTCCTGATTTTTCTTTTAATCTAATTTCTGTCCAAAGTCTCATCAAAGACTTAAACTACAGTCTAACTTTTTCTTCTAAGCTGTGTCAGATAAGGGAGAATTTTGCATTGCAGATGATTGGGTGTGCTAGTGCTTGCAAGGGTCTCTATTACTTACAAATCTTTCCTAATCCTAACCGTGATCTCATTCCCAAGTCTATTTTCTCTTATGAATATTTTGATGTAAATTTGTGGCACTATAGGTTAGGCCATCCTGTACACAATAAAACAGATATGTGAAAATTTTCCTTATGTGCAAATAACATCTCAAATTGTTTGTGACACTTGCCATTATGCTAAACAACATAAATTGCCTTTTTCTAGAAGTGTTTCTTTGTCCACTGAGTGCTTTGAAATAATTCACTGTGATATATGGGGTCCTATTTCCATTTCCTCTATTCATGGTCATAAATATTTTCTAAATCTTGTTGATGACTATAGCAGACATACCTGGGTCTTTTTAATGCACAATAAAAGCCAAACTAGAGATTTGTTACAAAACTTTATTGTTAGGATTAAAAATTAGTTTAATAAAATTGTTAAAACTATTAGATCTGACAATGAACCTGAATTTAATTGTGTTAACTTGTATAATTTTCATGGCATCAATCATCAAAAGAGTTGTTTTGAAACTCCTGAACAAAACTCTGTTGTGGAGCGCAAACACCAACACATTCTTAATGTTACCCATAGTCTAATGTGCCTAATGCCTATTGTTCCTATGCTGTCAATCATGTTGTTTACCTAATAAATAGGTTACCTTCCCCTGTTCTTAATAACAAAACCCCCATGATCTTATGTATGATGCCCCTCCCACTTATTTGAATTTAAAAACTTTTGGGTGCCTATGCTTTGCTTCCACTCTTGAAAACAACAGACGTAAACTTGACCCGAGAGCTAGGAAGGGAATCTTCCTTGGTTACAAGAGTGGTGTCAAGGGCTACATTGTTCTTGACATCAACATTAGGGAACTTTTCATAAGCAGAAATGTCATTTTTTATGAGGATATTTTTCCCTATAAAGACAAGCAGAACAGTAGAGAAGCCAACAATGATGAGGCAGACAAAACTACATTTCTTGATGATCTTCTAGGTAGCTACAATTCTATTGATGTTGAAAGACCCGTTGAAATGGACACCAATGGTCAAAGACAAACACAACAGATTGCCACTAACAACAATAGCAATGATAATTCTACTAGAAGTGAAGAAAGTCACAGTCGTAGAAGATCTAACAGAGTTAGATTTATCTTTTTCTTATTTATTTACATTTAGTGGATAACAATTGTTTTTGTTTTCTTTTAATGTTTCTAAAACGGACATTTTAGCTGCTATAATTTGAGCTAAAATTAAAATTAAATTATTTATTCAATTTTTTATTTTCTTTTTTTAATTTCCCCTAGTTATTTAATAACTTTTATAAAAAAAAGTAAAGAATTAATTATATATATATATATAGATATATAGTATTTCATTAATAATTTGTGTCAAGAAATACAAATTTAAATTTTATTGTAACATCCCATTTAATAATATAGTCTACTAATCTTTATACTAATCCTTAAAAAAATTTCTACATATATTTTCTATCCATGTTTCCTTTCACTTATAATATATGTAGAAATATGTGTAACATTCCAAAATATAGTATTAAAATGTATAAAAGAGTCATCACAATTCCAATATTAATAAGAACAGTTAACAAGACAGGGAAGAAAAAGGAAAAATAAAGTTATTTACCGTCATCTCAAAATAAATATAAAGTAAACTTTATATTCAAGGTAACTAAACAAAAACTATTAACAAGACAACTATCTAAAACCACTAAACATCAGATGCTCTTCCATCTAGTGCCTACTCTAGGAAAACCTCATCTCCCTCTGCTCACACCCACCGGGTGATCATAACAAAGAAGAGAACACAAAACATACAAACGGAAACAAAAGTAAAAGGGTAAGCTAGAATTAAAACAATTCATAATATATCATAAACATGTTAAACATTTTACACAAGATTCATATATCACACCAAACCAAATAAACACTTTATGCATGACAACCCCTTTTGATTGATTATCAGATTAGTATGAATATCGAGCTATAGCAGTTCGTGCATTTGTTGTGGTCAAACAATTGGCTCACCCCTAAGCTACCACACACAAGGTTAGTTTGTTATCACTTGCCTTAGACCAAGGTAAAACCCTTAGACTAGGACCTCTTGCTATTCTCACGTGCCTCAACCCTCTCTACTTGAAAATGAATGACCATTAGAATGTCAGGATGAACTCCAAGATTGGGCTTCCTATATTCATACTTACAATACTTGAAACTACAATAAGAAATTTCTCCTTAGAACTCTTTTCCACAACCTTTCATCCATTTAACTGCATGTTTCAAACCATACCACACATTCCATGCAATATAACAAGCACACCTTAAATTATCAATGTAATTATCCTTCATAAGAAAATAAGATAAAAGAATACAAAACTTATCATCATCATATATCATACATAATCATATACACAATATTGTTTGAAATTCATATTATAAATCAATTCATTCAAACAATCACATACATTGAACACACCCGAAGTATATAAAAACTTAGTTGAAAATATGATATTTTCGCTCAGCCCCAAGTCTGCTCACTAGCTAAAAGTGTATGTCAGCCCACTCGCTCAGCCACTATAACTCGTGCTAAAAGAGAAATAGTGGGTTTTGCTCGCTCAACGAGAAGTGTTATGCTCGCTCAGTGTAAGACCCTAGGAAAATATGATAATTAGGGAATAATGTGGTTATGAGACTTGAACATCATTATTGGTAATTGTTGTTGGATTATTTGGTGTTTTTCCTACAACTATAATTATTATGTTATTATTTAATGTTATTATTGATTAAGTAGAACACATGGTTGGTATTTGTTGTCATGATGATTTGTGTGGTGTGTTGTTACCAATATGATGTGTTGGATTGATGGTAGAAGAGTGATTTGAGATTTAATAGGTATGAGCCAAATTTTAGAAAGAAAGAGAGTTAAAGTAAACTTTTGGGTTTAATTTGTATTTTGGGGTCCAAGGGCAAAATAGTCTTATACCCTCATTAAGTGGTGTGGACATTAAGTAAGGGGGTATAGAAAGAAAATGAATAAAATCTGAAACGAAATAGAAAGATTTTGTGAATCTTTGAGAGATTTGGTGGTTGTTGATATTTTAAATATTAGATAAAATAAAATAAGAAAGAAAATCTTGGTGATTCTATAGATTAAATGAGTGATATTATTTTAATTAAAAAAAATAGAGATAGAATAGAAAAAAAATAAAAAGTATAAGAGTAAAAGGGGGCTGCATATTGCTACCCTAAAATCCAAAAACGAAAATTTGAGAGTTAAGGGAGAAAAAAGACGTTTCTACGAGAGAAGAGGAAGAGCTACAGAAAACCCTAGTGCAAGGGAAGACTTGTGGTATTTTTGAAGTTAGATAAAGCCCTAGGAATTGGCCAAGGTGTGAGAAACTTACCTTTCTTTGATTAATTATCGTATGTTATATGTGTTCTTGGTTACTTTGATTAATAATCCTTGTTGATATATGATGCATGATTATGATTATGGTTGTATGTTGTTTTTGTTGGGCAAGTGTTTATGTATGCATGAACATAGGGTTTATGTAATATTTGTGTTAGATTTTCCTAGGAATGTATGTATGGTTGTTGGGTTATCCCAACGGAGGGTTTGATGCTAAGGGATTGATGCTAAGGGTTAAATTTAACATAAAGATGAATTCGAATGAAAATCCTATATATTCTTATAATCTAAATGGCTTAATTCTAAATTGAAAGACTAATCTAAATCCTATGCTTTAGTTTATCCGCTTTGCATAAAGGATTTTGTTGAATTAAAACTTCACGACCAATTTTCTTAAAATCTATTTCGCATGAGTGCATTTCTGGATATCTGTGTGTTCCACAAAAAACATTTCCACAACGACATTGAAACCCTAATAACCCAATCTTCTTGTTGCAACTCTTGCATCTCTTTCTCTCATTCTTCTCACTTGTCTTGGAATTAGAAAGAGAAATCATATCATCAAATATAGAACCTTCACTTTAAGCAGTACATGATGCCGATAATAAATCCTTTGATTTGGCGAGATAATCTTTATAACAATTTGAACAAAGATTATTTGTTGTAGGAGAACCATAAAAACCACAATCATTAACACAAAGTGATGATGTAACGATATTATTTACTTCAAAGAAAATTATAAAATCAATAAAATGAAAAAAAGGGTGCAACAATGAAGAGTCTTAAACAGTATTTATAACTTAAAAATTATAACAAATGTCCAAATATATGTTATCTTATCAAAATATCTTATTCAAATCTAATTTTTATAGCATATTTTTTCAAGTAAAATTATATTTATATATATATATATATATATATATATATATATATATTAAATTCACATTACAATATAATGTATTAGTGGTTTCTATAAATAGTAAGTATTTTTTAAAAGATATAGGGATAATTAAAAATTTGTCATACATGTTGGATAATAAAAGAAATATTATTTTTGTAATAGTTTTAAACAGATAATATATTAAAATTACTAATACGTTTTTTAATTAAATTTTACTCTAAAACATATAATTGTAATTAATTTAATAGAGATATATTAATATTAACAAATATAATTTTTTTTTCTTAAACATAATTTTATAATTAATATGATAAAAATATATTAGTACTAAAAAATTAAAAAAATTGAGGCCACCTTTTTGAAAATCTAAAGCGAGTGTTTTACTTGTTTTATTCTTGAGTTGAAATTGTTTATATAT